CTGAGCATGCACGCACGTGCACGAGTGCCTGGCGTGTCAGAGCTCTAGGGACCCCAGAGGCATGGCCTGCTGTGTGCCTTAAAGAAGTTGTGAGGTGACTGCAGGAGACAGAGGCAGCTGTTGCACACTCTGCAGCTTGCTGAGGGGTAGGGGAATCATCGTGGGCTTCTTGGTTGAGGTGTCTTTTTCATCCTGGCCTGAATAGATGAGTTTCATCAGATCAGGATGGGAGGGTGGTGGTGAACACGAGGAAATCCATGAAACAACAATGCGTTGGAGTGTTATTCAGCCTTAAAAAGGAAGGCATTCCTGCCACAGGTGACAATGTGGATCATCCTGGAGGACAGTATGTTAAGTAAGATCCGCTGGATCCAGAAGGACAAACACTGTAATTCCACTTATATGAGGAATCTAATGGTCAAACTCAAATGTAGAGAGTGGAAGGGTGGTTGCCAGGGGCTGGGGCAGGAGGGAGTGGGGAGATGCTCTTCACTGGGTGTCAAGCTTCAGGCCACACGGGTCAGCTCCAGAGACCTGGTGTGCGATGACATTGTGCTCAGACATGGCCTTTAACATTCATGAGGAGGGAGATCTCGGGTGACGTGTTCTCAGCACAGTGGAAAACTCTGTTGGGCTTGCGTCTTATTCAGGGAAAGGTGCTCACATTCCGGGGGAGGAACAAAATAGTGCAGCCCCATCACTGGGGGGAGTGCTAAGGGAGGCCGGCTCAAGAGGCTGCTGGCCCAAGCGAATTGCTGTCCGCAGGTGAGGCTGGGTACAGGGGTTGGTGACGCCAGGCGGGGGTGCGACACCCACGTCTCAGCACAAGGATCGTGCCTGTGGGTGGTGAGCCGCTCCCTCTAGGCGAAGCTCGGCATAGCCGAGGGACCAAGGGCCCCGGAGCCTGAGCCTTCTGTCCTGCTGGGTCCAGGGTGCCAGGCGCCCTGGCCGGGGGCGTGTCTGCACCAGGCACATGTGCCCTGCTGAGCTCTCATCCCACTGATAGCCAGGGCACGTGGCTCTTTAGTGTAAATCAGGCAGGCACGTGGCACACACTGCAGATCATAAGGCTGGCATGATCCCTTTGAATAGAGATTTCAGCAGGGCTTGGTTGGGAGGGAGATGAGCGGGTAGAGCACAGAGGATGTTTAGAGCAGTGAAACTGTGATGATACTGTCATGGGGGATTCATGGCGTCGAACAGATTTCTGGATGCAGGGAACATGCAACCCCACGGGTAAAGCCTGATGTAACAGTGGTGATTGTGATGTGTCCGTGTGGGTTCATCATTTGTAACAAACGTCTGGCTCTGGTGGTGGGTGTCGGTAATGAGGGAGGGTGTGCGTTAGCAGGGGCTGCTGGTAGATGGGGGAGCCTGTGTACCTTCCTCCTGATTTTGCTGTGAACCTAAACCTGCTTTATAAAATAGTTTGTGTAAAAAAAAGAGAGTTATCACTTCTAACCTCATGTTGCAACGATGAACAACAACATATCCAGTCCTTTGCTTCTGTAAGAAGCGTGGGGCAGTCGAGACCTCCAGAAGTCCTTGTAAGAAGACTCAGATGTCACACAAGCCTTGGAGTGAAGGAGCAGCTTCCTGAGCCTGGGTCTCCAGCACCCGGCTGCAGTCTTGCCCTCTGCTCTAGGTTTCTTGAAGATAAAGAGCCAAAGAGACTTCTCCCAGCTGGTCGTCAATGATGTATTAATTCTTGATTCCCCCCCCCCCCCATGGCTATGGTGTCATGGAATTAGATTACCGGTTGTATTTATTTTTACAGATTTGCCAGTGTTTTCACTTACCATAAAAGTGTAAAATCTAGTGTCATGTCAGGTTCTTCTAAGTCGTTAGTGCTCTCTGCCACTGCCTGTGAGAGGCGGTGTCTTTACTCAGTGCTGCCTAGCCTGGTTTCCCCTCTGAAGGTTACCGCACTCCAGGAAGGGCGGAAGGTGGGTGCTGTTCACCCCCAAGAGAAAGGCTCAGAGAGGCCGAGACCCGGGTTCAAGGCCGAGAACCAGGGCCCTCATTACCTGGTCCTGTTCAACATGCAAAGTCAGACAGACTGTCTCCTCGTGGGCTCATGTGACTGTGTGTATTTGTCCTGCATTAAGAAATGCTGTGAAGGACACTCCGCCCTTTGGTAAGTCGGGAGCCTGGCTCTCTCATGGGGAAGGGGCCTTGTAGCCAGCAGGCAGGTGCTCAGTAGATGCTTGTGTTGTTGATGTTCAGTTGCTCAGTCGTGTCCGACTCTCCGTGACCCCGTGGACTGCAGCACGCCAGGCCTCCCAGTCCCTCACTATCTTCCAAAGTTCGCCCAGGTTCATGTCTGTTGACTTGGCGATGCTATCCAGCCATCTCATCCGCTGCTGCCCTCTTCTCCTTTTGCCTTCCGTCTTTCCCAGCATCAGCAGCTCTGGTTCTGGACACAGAATACCATGTCCTCCCCTGTTGGTAGGGTGCCTTGGCTTCCATCCTGGCTCTGACGTGGAAAGGTGCATGGTTCCACAGCTTATTTCAAGACGTCTCAGGTTGGTTCTTCTGCCTTAATGTCACTGTGATATTTTGATGAAATAGTGGTTCTTAATCGCTGCAGGTGAGTGGTGGTGATTACCACTGGTTCCTGGGGTCGAATGCAGAGGTTGGAATTGGACAGATTTGGACGCCAGCTGTGACTTTACATCTTCTCTCTGAGCCTGGTAGAAGGGGCTGGGAGACCACTTCCCGGAGAGTCATTCTGTGACACCAGCAAGACTGTGTCCCCGGGGCGCTTGCCTGGCGGGCTCTGGAGTTGTCATCAAATTCTCAAGTCTCCAAGCCTGAGGGCTGGGCCCCATGGCCCTTCCGTGCTCACCCTGCCTGCCTTGTGTGACCCAGTTCACGTCTGCCTCAGGGCCTTTGCATGTGCCGTGTGCCACATGGAATGTTTCCCTCCATCCAGCAGCACACGGGCTTCCTCTCTCCCCTGGGGCCCCCAGAGAGGCCTTTCCAGCGCAGCCCTCCCCGCCACCTGTCTCTGCACCCCACCTGGCTTTCCTCCCAGTGTTTCTCGTTGTCCCGTCTGTTCCATGTTGGTTGTTGTGTTTCCCCTCCCCTCTGCCTTCTGCTGGCAGAGACTTTGGTCTTCTCTGTTCCTTCTTTACCCACAGCACCAAGAGCAGCTCCTTGGCCTTGTAGGTGCTCAGTAAGTTTGCGTCGACTCAGTGAATTTCGGATCTTCCTTGGCTGCAGCTTGGTTGACCCCAGGAGAGGGACGCCTCAGACCCTCCTCGTCACCAGCACCTTAGATGGCCTGGTTCCTCACCATGTGACTCGCAGATTTCACACCGCCACAGGTGTGATGGGGAAGCCAGGCCTCGACCTCCTAGCTGTGTCCTTGTGATGCTGACATGGCTGTTCTGGGTCAGAAAAGACAGGGGAGGGCCTATTTTTTGACCCAGAGGCTAAGCAGGAGCCCTCGTGATTCCTCATCCATCCCTCCCTTCCTCTGAGACCTGGATGGTGGGCTTCTGCCCCCTCCGTGGCCGCCTGTGGACAGCATGGCTCCTGGGACCCATTTCTTGCCTCAGTGTCTTTGGGCCTCTTTCCGCCTAGGCATCCGGAGCATAATGGGACAGAGGGACCACCTATTTATCTTGTCCTCAACCTCCCCCATTTCCTCCTCCTCCCCAGTTCATTTGTACACCAACAATGTGGGGTAGTGTTGCTTAGGTGTGTGTAAAGGAGTAAGTGAGATAATGCCAGTGTGGGCTTTGAACAGAGCTTGACAAGTAGAAGAGTTTGAATTTTAGCTAAAAAAAGGACACCAGCAAACCATACTTCTCTCCAAAAGAGGACTTGAAGCAGCATATTAAAACAGTTTAAAAAATAGAGCGAAACGGGTTATATGTAAATTGGCCCCTGGTGGAAAGACAATTTGGTGATCAGAGGGAGGGTTAGGGCGCATTGTGGTGGCCACATGGCCAAGGGGTTGCACTGGATGTGTGAGTTTGGTTGTGAGACTTTGGCTGTGAGCTTCTTTGCAGCCAGTTCTAAGAGGATTGGTTAGGGGAAAAAAATAAAACTGGCTTTCCGGGGGAAATTCACAAGTTCCTGGGCTTGCGATCTGAGTGTTATGGTAAATAGTCCACCGTGGGTGGACAGTGATAACAGGTAAGCTTGCTGTAGATGGAAAACTTGGATGCTTATTGAATTTAAAGGCGTGTTTCTCTATCAGTGAATTGCTTTCCCACATTGAAGATGTCAGGAGAGCTGCTCCTGCAAGTAATTATGAATTGTGTGTTGGAGGGGCCCCTGTCCCCCTTCACAGTATATGGGAGTCAGAGCAAGAAGACCAGATCTCTCAGTAACCTTGAGCATGTCTATGTCAGCATGGAGTCAGTTGGGCTTCCCATGTGGCTCAGTGGTAAAGAATCCGCCTGCCGATGCAGGAGATGCGGGTTTGACCCCTGGGTCAGGAAGATCCCCTGGATCAGAAAGATCCCCTGGAGGAAGAAATGGCAACCCACTCCAGTGTACTTGCCTGGAGAATCCCATGGACAGAGGAGCCTGGTGAGCTGCAGTCCCACGGGGTCGCAGAGAGTCAGACATGACTGAACACGCAGGAGCATGAAGTCAGTTTCATGAGATCTGCTGTCTGACCTGTGGTTGGTAACTGGCTCTAACTGGGAATATATCAGTGTTCAAAACAGATGCTGTCCGGTAGCAGGGACTTGGAGAAGCACTCAGCAGTCACCAGTCTGTAACTTCCTTAGCGGCTGGTTACGTTCACCAAGGAAACGCCTCCACATTCATTCTCATCCTGCCCTCCCTTTGGATTCTGGGTGGCTAATAAGAGTGATTGACTGAGCCACTGGATCTCCTAGACTGTATAGGAATTATTTTTGAAAGGGAAAAGGGAACTTGTCTAGACAAGTGGCCCTAAATAGCACATAATCCAGACCGGTGAGGGGCGGTGTAGCAGGCGGGATCTGCCGGTTAATTTGGACTTGGCTTTCTTCCCTTAGGTGAACTGCGACAAGCCATCGTGGCCATGATGAACAGGAAGGACGAGCTGGAAGAAGAGAACAGGTATCCAGTGCCGGGGCTGGAGGGGTCGCTCCTTCGTGGAAATCCTGCCTCTGGGGCAGAGAGAAGATCACCGTGAAGGAAGTTTTGCTTCAGGGGCAGAACTGTGACCAGTGATTTCTGATTTTTTGTTCTGAGATGAACTACTTTATTTTTTCAACTTTTTATTTTATGTTGGAGTAGAACCAACTGACAGTGTTGTGATAGCTTCTGGTGATAGCAAAAGGACTCAGCCGTATATATACATGTGTCCATTCTGGGATGTACCACTTTAGTATATATAATGCGGCTTGAGTGTTAATAAGGAATGAAACGATCACACACTATCTCAGAACAAACTGAGAATTTTTAAAGCAGTCTTTTAATTTTTAATTCTTTTTTTTTAATAGCTTTTGAGATATAATTCACATATAATTCATAGATTATATAATTTAAATATCATATAAAACAAAACCTATTTATTCAGTGGTTTTTAGCGTATTCACAGATATGTGCAACCATCTGAAGCTCCATCCTCATAGCTGTCACCCTGAGTCCCTCTTAAGCGGCAGCTAACCCTTCATTGAGGTTCTGTCCACCACGTTCCAAGCACTAGCGTACTTAACATTTTCTCAAATTGGGGATACCTATAGCAAGATGGCGTATGGAGTCTTTTGATTTTCCCCAAAGCCCTGTTGCAGACACTGAGAGGCCAAAGGGTTTTATTCATTTTGATTCCCTGTTGAAACCAGGGCTGGATACCAGACTGCTATTAGCAGTGTTGCTACCGTCTGGCCGCCCAAATGTGAGCCGCTCCAACGCCAGGACCTGGTCTGGGCTACAAGCTGGCCAGTAGATTTGCCTGCAGTTATCTGTAGAGCCTCTGTGAATACAAGTCTGCCGGCCTGCGGGTCAGGGAGTAGGGGTGTGTGTGTGCACACGTGTGTGCACGCTCATGCCACTCTCTTATGCTTGCCCCCTGAGCAGGAATTGTGTCCCTGGGGATGTGCATTCTGATTCTCCTTTTTAAAACTTGCTTTGGGCCCTGCTTGACAAGCTTCTCCCTCATCCTATATGGAAACATACAAGAGCAAACAAATGTGATATGGAAAAACAAGTGTTTTTAAAAAGGAATCTTCAGACAGTGTGATTTTCCAGTGAAAGTAAATCTCAGTGCCGGGCTGTGGACTTTGCAGGATGCTTTTTCCTTTTTCCAGCTGGGGCCATCATCTTGGGAAAAAACCATAGGTTTTGTCTTACCTTGTGAAGAACAATAGTCACTATTGGGTCATTTCTTCTCCTTCCCAGCAAGAGAGAGAGAAAAAAAAATCACACCCAGTTTGTGTTGGGGGCGGTTTCCAGGCCCCAAGAGGGGAATTTTTCTAAAACTTTCAAGGAGCATTGAAACATGCCATGTTTGTTTTTGGAGCGGAGGTTCAGTGAGCAATGGGGGTGGGATGGTTCAGACACTACTGCTTGTGGTCTGGTGTCTCGTGGCAAGTGTCTTCTAGATTTAGGAGGCAGCCGCACCCAAGTTAGTAAATGTTTTCAAGAAATAACCATTTGAGGTCCGTAGATGGTCACCAGAACCCTGCTCGGACTCAATTCTAGGTGGTAACGTGGTTATTTCTGGAAGAGCCACTGTCTTCTGTGCTATTTAAGACCAAAGATGACAGATATTCAAGCGAATGTGTTTGCAGGGTGAACATGCTCCAGATAGAGTATAAAACACATTCATTGCAATGTCAAGTTATTCATCTCCGTAAGACAGGCTGTATGCTTGTTTAACCTGGAGGTGGCGACGCAGCAAGGGTGAAGGGTGCTTTGTGGGAGATTGTGGGCAAAGGAGAAATGAGACTCCCGTCGTCCATCAGATAACTGGAGTCCGTCTTCTGTGTTTGTGGCTCCGGTGGTGTTTTTTTTGGCCTGTCCTGGCAGCCCCTCCTTTATTAAATCTCATACGTAGTGTGGCTGGGCTGAAACGTCTCAGTTGAGCATGCATACCTCAGTGTGGGATGTCTGGGAGGGGGTGTGCTTGGGATTGGCTCAATTCATTGTTTTCCCTTGGTTTAAACCACCAAACCCACAGGCTCTCAGAGCCAGGCCTCCGGTGGTTCCCCGGGGCTCATCCTAGTCACGACGCAGAGGCTCGAGCAGAATTGAGTAGCTTCTCAAAGCAGTTTGTATAAGATGGACGTGAACCGCGGTTTCTGCAGAGCCTTGTGGAAGATGAATGAACTAGGACTTGACTCTGTAGACTCCGGGTTGGCAGCCTCTGAACAGGTGGGATCTCCTCCTCCTCCCAGGTCGCTGCGGAACCTGCTTGACAGTGAGATGGAGCACTCAGCCGCGCTCCGCCAGGAGGTCGACACCTTGAAGCGGAAGGTGGCTGAGCAGGAGGAGCGGCACGTCACGAAGGTCCAGGCGCTGGCGAGGTAGGGGGCGGAGGGGCTGGGGGAGGCGCTGGCCAGCCCCCAAGCACACCTTTCATCAGTACTTACTCATTTAAAGTGTCAAATGGAAATAATACTGACATAGCTGAAATTTTAACTTATTAAATATTGAGTAAGTATTAAATAATATGCATGCACATGGTTCAAAATACAAAAGTCACGAATGGTTAAACTCTGTGATCACTGGCTCACCCCTAGAGGGTGGGCAGCGTCACCTCCCAGAGATGGCCCTTGTGTACGCGAGCAGATGCGAACATTCAGATACATGAACTTTCTCTTCTCATCTCCCTCCTCTTCTGTCTTTCTTCCTTGATACAGATGGTCCCATATCCTATACCACACTCCCTCCACAGCTTAGAGACCGTCCTGCGCTGGGTACACAGACCTGCCGTCTTTCTAACGGCCTTGATACCCCACCATCCATCTGTACCAGGATTCATTTGGTCGATGTGCCAGCAGCCAGGCATCTGAGTCATTTCTAGCCTTTTTCTACTTCTGATAATCCTCGCAGTTGTCATTGTGTCCTTGTATGAGTGTATTTGCCAGAAAGGTTCCTGGAAGTGGAATTGCTGGGTCAAAGCACTGTGTTTTTCTTTTCTTTCCTTATTATTTGTTTAATTTGTTTGGCTATGCCGGGTCTTAGTTGTGGCACATAGGGTCTTTGATCTTAGTTGTGGCGTGTGAACTCTTAGTTGTGGCCTGTGGGGTCTAGTTCCCTGCCCAGGGACTGAACCTGGGCCCGTGCATTGGGAGTGTGGAGTCTTAGCCACCGGAGCACAGGGAAGTCCCCAGAGTGCTTTCTGAGTTGGATAAAGGTCGTCAACCTGCCTTTAATGAGGGCTGGGTCTCCCCCAGCACAGCCCTGCCTCTGGTGGATCCAGCTTTGCGGGTCTTTGATAAAATCACAGGTGAAAGCAGTGCTGTCGAAATATTTTTCATTTCTCTGGTTCAGACTATGGTTGAACCTCTTTATAGTTGAGTCATCTTATTTTCTTTTCTGTGACTTTGTTTATATCTAATTAAAGAAAACTGTAAAGCAGCCCCCCCACCCCCAAGCTCCAACTGCCATAATGAAATTTTACTGAATTTGTCACATGCAAACATATTTTTATGGGCTCTACTTGAAATCTCCAGCCCGTCACTTCCTAGGCTGTGTCCTTCTACCATAGTAAAAGCTTCGTAGTCACCATTTTTATGTACCTGGGTGTGGCATTTAATTGATTTAATGTACCATATGAATGTACCATTTCAGATTGCTGGACATTTGAGTTTTCCCCCATTTTATGTAAGATAAAGCACTTTAACTGGTTGTTCTTTTATTGTTGTTGTTCACTCAGTCATGTGTGACTTTTTGCGACCCCACGGACTGCAGCATGTCAGGCTTCCCTGTCCTTCACCATCTCCCAAAGTTTGCTCAACTCTACTGAATCGGTGATGCCATCCGGCTCTCTCATCCTCTATCGTCACCTTCTCCTTCTGGCTTCAATCTTCCCCACCATCAGGGTCTTTTCCAGTGAGTCGGCTCTCTGCATCAGGTGGCCCAAGTATTGGAGCTTCAGCCCTTCCAATGAATATTCAGGGTTGATTTCCTTTAGTATTGACTTGGCCTGATCCCTTTGCAGACCAGGGGACTCTCAAGAGTCTTCTCCAGCGCTATAGTTCAAAAGCATCAATTCTGTGGTGCTCAGCCTTCTTTATGGTCCAACTTTCACATCTTTACATCACTATTGGAAAAGCCATAGCTTTGACTATACGGATTCTTTAAAATACTTAAAATAGACCGGGAGTTGCATCTTTCTTGTGGGGGGATGGGGTGGGGGAGCCCAGGGCTAAGGAAACTCGACAGCGGCAGCATTACCATCTCCGCGCTGTCAGCTGTTGTGAGTGACACTGATGTAATTGTTATGTATATATAACGGGAAGTTGGCAGCGTGATCCCATGTTTATTTTTTGGCTGTGCTGGGTCTTCGTGGTGGTGTGTAGGCTGAATAGTTGTGGCCAAGGGGCTTAGTTGCTCCACAACTGCGTCCCCTGCCTTGGAAGGCAGTTTAACCACTGGACCACCGGGAAGTCCGCCTGTGTTTAATCTTAATTTGGACTTCTCTCCTGTGTTCACATTTGAAAATGACATATCCAGAGTATCAGAAACAAGCCCCAGGTGCCTAATTTGGCATTTTCTCACCTGGCCCCCATCTTACCTGGCCATGCCAGGGTTCCGTGGTGCAATTGTGTTTTATGTTCTCAATAAAGACTGTGGTCTGTGGAGACCTGGGTTCTGAATCATTGAAGACAGACAGACTTCTGTCCTCTGTCATTTTTTATTGTGTCAGGAGCCAGCTCAGCCTTGGGTTGCTGCTCCATTGCTTGCAAATTGGGTGTTGGGTCTGAACCGCTTCACTTCCACAGGCGTGCGTTTCTTCGTTTATGACATGGACAGGATGGTGTTATCCCCCGAGAGGGCCCACTGAGGAGTGTGTGTGAAAGTCCATAAGGCAGCGGCGAGGGACTGGAATGTGTTTTACAGTAAATGTGTTTTGAGTATATGATAATTTTGGGATAAATTTTCTTTAGCCCATGAATGAAATAGAAAAAGGTAGCTTCTTGACCATGCTCTTCTGTAATCTGGTTTCCCCAGTTAAACAGTGGGGTAGCTGAGAGTTTGGGCTTCCCTGGTGGCTCAGGGGTAAGGAATCTGCCTGCCAGTGCAGGAGACGTGGGTTTGATCCCTGGGTCAGGAAGATCCCCTGGAGAAGAAAATGGCAAACCCACCCCAGTATTCTTACCTGGGAAATCCCATGGACAGAGGAGCCTGGCGGGCTACAGTCCACGGGGTCACAGAAGAGTTGGACACAACTTTATTGACTGAACACACACACAGCTGAAAGTTTAAGGTGCCTGAAAGTCTGCAGTTTGCAGGTAGAAGGAGCTTGCATAAATCGGGCAGACCCTTTAGGAGAAAATGGCACGAAAGCAGACGGATCAGTGGACGTGTTTTCAAAGACTCGACCGCTGACGTTGCAGACAGACTTCTGCCAGCTGTCAGAGGTTTCTCCTTGCTTCTGGCTGCAGGAGAGCGGCTGTCCGTGTTGTCAGATGGTGGGTCCCTGTGGTCAGCTGTGGTTGATGGCCTGGGGCTGCTGTCATCCATGGGTCACAGGCAGGGTGTGGAGGGTCACAGGCTGGGGGCGAGCCCCACACGGCCGCACCAGGGCAGCCCTCTTCTAGGTCCCCGTGTGTCCAGGTGGCGGGTTTCATAATGCAGGTAGTTTAGCCTAGTGGTTGGTGGTACTGATTCTGGCATTGGATCCTGAAGGTCCATTCATGGCTCTGCTGCTTATTAGCTGTGTGACCTTGAGCAAGTTACTTAACTGTCTCTGTTTCCTTGGCTATAAAATGAAGATAAGAGAACTCTACCTCATATAGAGTGGTTAGATGATAAAATGAGAGAATGGGCTTCATAAATGCTCAAACACATTACCTATCATTATCATTTTTCTCTAGGATAGTAATTGTATTATTACTAAGAAACCTTGCCTAATCAAAAGTTGTATTTTAACGGCAGTGATGCAGAAAGAATTAAGAATTAGGCTATTTCAGACACAGGACAATGAAATTATTTTTGCTGTATTGCTGAGAAGTGTGTTCGGGTGTATGTGTGTCTTCCTGGCCCTGAGTGTAGAGTTGTGAAATAGGAACATCCCTGAGCAGATGAAGCATCTTATTACACATTCATTTTGCTCAAAATTAATGGCTTTCCTTTCATGCCATCACGGCTCAACAAAGAGCAAGGTCGTAGAAGCAGCCGAGTGCCTTTGTGGCGCCAAGCATCTGCGCCTTCCCAGGCGGAGTCCTTGTCGTCAGTAGCGGTTCAGCATCAGTCAGTCTCCCTCCCTGGATAATGGATTGTCTTCTTCCTGTGGAAGTGAGAAGTCTCAAGCTCAGCAAGGTCCCACTGTTTAAGCACAGGGAACTATATCCCATATCCTGTGATGAACAGGGTAGGAAATGGAAAAGAATATGAAGAGGAATGTGTATATATATGTGTGTGTGTGCGTAACTGAATCACTTTGCTCTATAGCAGAAACTAACACAACATTATAAATCCACTGTATGTACTTCAATTAAAAAAACCAAAAAGCTCAGCCTATGACATAGGCTGAGCAGAAAGAAAACACACATTAGCTGAGCAGAAGTACCTTTGAGGGATGCAAACAGCCAGGGTTTTGGGGTGTTGTGGGGGCATTTCTGTTTCTGCTGTATTTGTTTGTCTGTCTGGCGCATCAGGGCTTAGTTGAGGCACGCGGAGCTCTGCTGTGTCACATGGGCCCTTTCGCTCTGGCTCATGGACTCTCTCCTGGAGCACTGGCTCAGTAGTTGCGACACATGGGCTTAGTTGCTGCACAGAGTGTGGGATCTTAGTTCCCCAACCAGGGATCGAACTGGCATCCCCTGTATTGTAGGGTGGTTTCTTAACCTCTGGACCACCAGGGACGTCCCGGTCTCTGCTGTTTTTGTAGTAGATACCCCCAGCTATGTAACAAATGATCTCCAAACTTGACAGCTTAAAACAGGGAATGTTGAGGATCCTCCACAATTTCCATGAGTTGGGAATGTGGGAATGGCTCAGGGTTTCTCATGAGGTTGTAGTCAAGTGTTAACCAGAGCTGCGGTCATCTGATGAGTCCTTGTCGTCAGTAGCGGTTCAGCATCAGTCAGTCTCCCTCCCTGGATAATGGATTGTCTTCTTCCTGTGGAAGTGAGAAGTCTCAAGCTCAGCAAGGTCCCACTGTTTAAGCACAGGGAACTATATCCCATATCCTGTGATGAACAGGGTAGGAAATGGAAAAGAATATGAAGAGGAATGTGTATATATATGTGTGTGTGTGCGTAACTGAATCACTTTGCTCTATAGCAGAAACTAACACAACATTATAAATCCACTGTATGTACTTCAATTAAAAAAACCAAAAAGCTCAGCCTAT